TTTATGCAGAACTCATGAAAAGGAAGTGCTGATGTTGATGAGATGCCAATAACAAGTACAAGCAAGGTGTGGGGTTGATTGGGGAGCAGCATGGCTTAGATTGTACCACAGTATGTCACATTCTGATTTCACTCTGACTTCAAAAGTAACCCAGAAAGTTATAAAGCAAAAACTATTTTGAAAGGCATTATGGTCCAGTTTTCCAGTGCTAACAGTGTTCTGAACACCTGGTTTCTAGTTCTCTGCAATGCAAGATTCAATGTGAAATAACGAGTCAAATGATCAGTCTTAAAAAAAATAAAAAATTCTACTGCTCTAAAGCTCTTCACAAGTATGCCTTTTAAAATACATATCTTACGGGCAGCACAAAAACATTTTAATGAATGCTAACATGTTAGTAAACACAATGAAAATGGTATTCCCTACTGAGCAGTATAAGAACATTTAAATAAAATATCTGCCTTTGGACATCAGACACTGCTGGTGATCCCAATAGAATTTGTGCTTCTTTTTCCTATTGGAAAATACAGCGTATGTGGACATGTTTTATGAGAACTGATAAAAAGACAAATCTCTAACCCATGACATCTGTACAGATTCCTCCTTTTTAAATCTGTGCATCTTAATAGACTTCCAAAGTTCGTCCCTGGAAATGGGTTGGCTTCTTCTAAATGCCTCATGCTAAGAGGCGAATATCTGTGTGAGAATTCATTATTTTAATAGAACTAAAGTCTGACAGAGGTAAGAGAGCAGAATGCAAATGTCAGCATTGCTGGAGGTACAAGCAAACTGATAAAGCCCATTTATTTATACAACTATATTTTCAGTACAACAGTGTCACTTGAATATCTACAGTCACTTTATGTTTATTCTAGTTTCTTTATTAAGTGACTTCCATCTAAGACCTGAACATGCTAACTCAGTAAATAGTGAGTTCTCATTCAAGAAGATATTTAGGCTAAATCCTGAAACTAATTAAAACTGTGAATATAGACAGGTTTGCAAGGTGCTGAGCTCCTCTGCACCATCTGAACACCTTTCATTCTGTAGGAGAGCTGCGCATGAGAGAGCATGAGAACATGAAGATGCCCACAAAAGCTCCCGGGTTTTGGGCCCCCAGTTTTGGTGGAGAGCCTGAGGGTCCCGCTGGGCAGCCAAGTCCAGCCACCTGCTGACACAGGCTTTTCGTCCATATGTTGTCCTGCAACTGCTTGTTCTTTTGCAACCAGCAGCCGTTAGATTATATGACTCCTCTCTCTGACCCCTTTTAGAAGAGCTTTTGCTCTTCTAAAACAATTCCTTTTCCCCGGACCTCGCTGGTAGCCCTTTTTACATTTTTTTTTTTCGGTTTGGATTTATTTTTTTTAAAGCAATGCCAGATTTTTTTTACAGGGCAACAAGCAAGACCTTATTACTGTAGCATGCAATGGCCTTTTATCTCTACAATGTTCTCTTCTGTATGTCTTCTCCATGGCTGTAGCATCCTGGCAGCCTGCAGCCATCCTGGGATGACATGGTACATCACGCACTCATCTGTTACAGGCATTTCCAGCTGGTGGACCTCTCACCTCTCAAGAAGGCTTTCTGATAGTATTTTTCTTAATAAAGATCAGGCTGAAACCAATGCATTGCAAGCAGTCCTGTGGGATACCAATTTAAGGTAGCTATCAAGTAACTGTGCTTCAAATAGCTTTACTTTCATGTGTTATAAACAGCTCAATCTGTTCAACTCATTAAGGATACTAATTTCTCTTTCTTACAGAAAACTTATTTAGAACCCATTTATTTTTTACTTTATAAGACTTATTTTTTCGTCATACTGAGAATATGACAAAGACTTCTTAAATGTATGTACTCACAGCAATTATATATAGTGCTGTTTATATAAGCCATTATTGAGGCTAACGAAGGAATATTCACCTTAATTTCAGTGATGTATATTCAGTAGCATAATTTATGACATTTGCAACACTGGATGGCTACCGACTAGGAAATTCTAGTTATGTGAGATACAGCACTGAAAAAAATCTGAGGGAACACATTTTTAAACGCAAGGTCTGAGTGCTGATTGACATGCTTTGTACGATAGTAAAATCTGGCAGGTGCATTAACTTGCATTCCTCTGATCTGTACACATCCACACTTGTCTTCTTAGGGTACTTGGTAATAAGCTTCTTTAAAGATCCCTGAGTAAGCACTGAAGATAATATCTGGAGTATGTAGCACTCAGTCCTTTTAGAATGGCTTTTTCCTGCTCCTTTCGTTTTCTTAAGAAAATGTCAGTTTAATCATATCTTAATGCTTTGATAATGCGTTTCTTTACATAGCTGTAGAACACTCACTTCAGTGTTTTAAAAGAATTAATGTAGATGTAAAAATGCCAGTTAAATGAGATTTCTTCCAACAGTCTAACAAAACTGAAGTGCAAGGCTTCAAAACTTGCAAGACATTTGCACAGCAACACAAATGTGCCATAATAGTGGCCACTCTTCATGTATCATTGCAGAAGAGCCTTTTGTTTCCATTTAGCAACTTCAGAGAACCTGCATGCAAGCTCACCTATTGTCAAATTCTGTAGCTAATGTTACAATAAAGGTTTTCTTCTGATTTCTACCTAGGAGACCAAAAATATTGCTTTCCCCAGAATACCAATGGCAGTTCTCTGGGGCTAAATACTAGTTGTCAGAATTGGCCAAACTCAAAACAGTGTACCCTTATATTGCTGAATGAAATAAGGAATTGTGCTATGTTTTCATTGGCTGGCTTTGTACATAAAAATGTTATGCAACAAAAATGCAATGTGTTGGAAGACAACACAACAAAGCTCCAGTCTACATTGACTGCCACTGAAGAGAGCTGGTGCAGCATAGACCAAACTAATGGAAGAGCCTTCTGAGATAGGCACCCATTCCTCAGCTGGATGCTGCCTGGTTCCCAGGCTTCCTGCAGTCAGAGAGACTGGTTATATACATTAGCAAACACAGCCATAATTTATACATGCTTAAAAACAGAAACAAAACTTTCTCACTCACTTAAACTATAAAATTAAATATTATAGCATGTGTTACAAAAGCATATTTAGAAAAAAATAGAGTATATTCATATATACATACATGGCATAACTGTCAACAGGAAAAATAAAAATATTAACTTTTTTCCTCTTCCCCGGCCCAGAGAGGATTTAGGCTGTTTAACATTTAATTTACAGAAGCTGCATACTTGAGATATTTTACAAAATTCCTCCTTCAACATTACCTTTGATTATCATTAGAAATCTACTTTTTTATTACCGATGTGTAGACTCAGCTCCTCTAGTGGGTCTAATTGGAAAAGTTTTTTAAGTATGCTAGTTTCTAAGATTAAAAGAGGCCCCTTCCTACTTTTGTCCCAGAAGAGCATAATTTACGATGTACTGCAATATGTATTGCATGAGATAAATTGACAACATGAACATCTTCAGCTGTATTCACTTTCTTTAAGTAGAAAATGCTTCTAATTCCCTGTGTGTCTTGTAAAAGTAAATATCTCCTCTGAAATCCAAATGTATTTTGGCAGGATACAACACCAAGATGATCCTATCTTTGGTATTTTGCTTGAAATGTCAGCCAACACTCTCCAGTGTTTCAGTAGTCATAGAACAAAACCAAGGAAAATCCTTATCCACACCTATATGAATTGAATGAAACTAATTTAATGAATGAATGAATACATGGATCTGGAATATCTGTGATCTGATATAATTTTTAAAATACTCTTACTGTTAATTGTTTTTATATGACAATGTTTGGAGGATGTGTTCTTTTTATGTGCTATGTCAGAAGCAGCATGATCAAGGCTGTAATTGTAATAGAAGTACTGAGGCACAATGATTCAGAGTTGCTCTTTTATTTACAACCTTATCTTAAGCCTGTGTAAGTTAATCAAAATTTCTTCAGTGATACAGTAGTCTTTGGATGAAACCCTTACACTGGCATAAATAAAAAATAAAAAAAAAACAAAACATGAAATCTACAAATTTTCACAATTATGTAACAAGTGCAAAGGAGAGCAATTCAAGTTGTCCTTATCTGTTGAAGAATCATTGTTCTTGAAGTGACCCAGAAGACTTCAAAAAATCATGTATTACACACACACACACACAAAAAAATAATAATATCTTTGTTTCAAATGAATTCTGTAAAGCAATGATTGCAGCCTTGAACTATTGAAGAGGTACTTTAGGAGAAAATACAAGTAGATTATTACTTGAACAAAATACATATTTTCTTTTTCCTCCAAGAGGATACTTTTTTCCTGTATTGATGAAATCTGCTATTTTGTTTTGTGATGCGTTGGCTTGATTCCAACTCTGTTGTTTAATGTCTCTTCCTTTGGACTGTTTCTTGTAACTATGCAAGCAAGTCTGTTCCTTGATACTCCCACCATACCCACAGCAATGCAGGCTGGATCCATTTTTACTTCTTTTGGTCCACATCAGGAAAAGGCAAGGCCACCTAACATCAAGAAAAGCCACTACTTCTTGGTTAATACCAGGTGGGTCACTGCAAAGACTAGTTTGAGGATTAATAATTAGACTTCTTAACTATGAGGTCAAGATGCAAATACCCTTTTGAAACTGAGAAATGGTAACACCATTTCAGAATTCAGAATAGAAAGGAAAGTAATGCGGTCGTTGTCTTCGAACTCCAATATAGATATTCTGACAAAAAATTCTTTACCTGGAGAAGACATGCTTTATTGGCATACTCAGAAATACAATTTCACTTAAGTGAGAGAGACAAAGCTTGGATACCTAATGTAGAGTAGCAGAAGAAAGGAAATAGAAAGAGTTGCTGATGTTGAAACAAAGAAAGTATAGAATTTAACACAGAGATAAAGTCTTTCAAATAATTAACTCACAGGTGCTCTTTTTTTTCAGCTAATGTTTAGCTGTTTCCCCCCACCCTTCTCATTCCTTTATAACTCAGCAGGAGGAAGACTGTGAGTGTTTTATGTGTTGGTGTGGGAGAAAACATAGCTCAAACACATCTTGTTTTAAAGTTCTTGTTTTGCTCTGTATCCAAATGCTGTTTGATTCTCACCTAAATAGCAGGATAAATTAGGACTGCAGACTTTAAAAGTATGTCTTAGCAGACCCGTAGGTACTTGGAACCAGACTTAAAAACTTTGAATTTTCTTCTCTGAAATGATGATCTAGGGCTATATTTAGTAGGTTATATTAGGTTCAAATAAATGTACTCAAAACATGGAATAGAAAATACTACATCTGGTTCTCCCACTTAAATAAGATGTCTCCCTGTCCATGGCAGAGGAGTTGTAATTGTATGATTTTTAAGGTCCTTTCCAACCCAAGCCATTCTACGATTGCATCGGTCTTACAATGAATGGCAAGTTTGTAGAGCGTAGATCACAGCATTTGAATAGTGTCCTTTCAATGAAAATTCAGTCCTGACTGGACTTGAACACTCTACCATTGCAAGTAGCAAACAGTCTTAAAAACTCATGAAAGTATTATGGATGTTATTCTATGTGATTAACTAAGAGTATCTCCAACAGGTTTAGTCTGGACTATTTCTTGCTGCATAAAGCTGCCACCACATTTGGATTTGAGGTATGCTTTTGTCAATATAAAACTACCAAAAAGGCATAAAGATACCAGATCATTCAATTAACTCACTTTTGCTCTATTTCAATTGGAGGTCCTAAGTACTCTAAGGAAAATTTCATAAGTACTCCACAGATGAAAAGCATGTTTCCCATGGTGAAAATTAGGGTGAATACCTACTATTGGTAATTTTTCGTTAAGGAACGGCAGACTGCCAGAAACATTCAAGCATGTGTTTATTGGGTCCTTACTCAATAAATCCTCTCCTGACATTAATTTTCTTGCCAACTATTGTCTGATTGCTAAAACTCCCATTTCTGGGCAAGATTATTGAAGAGATGATAGATAGCAAATAGTGTCTAGCAGCATCTGCTCTTAATATTTAGACACCAATCAGTCAGGCTTCAGACCTTGACATGGCATCTGAAGGGCATCAGTTTCAGTGACTGAAAATCTCCCTAGGGCAATGGGACAATGTTCGGTTTCCCTACTAATAACTCCAGGTCTTGGTGACCTTCGATCTTCGATTCCAGAGACTGTAAGGTACTGTTTATTTGACTGTAGAACCTGACAAGAGCTTAAAAAAAAAAAAAAGATTTTATCTTTTTTTTTATGCTGGAAAAGATCCTGATGGGTTGCGAACATTTGCTTTTCCTCTGCAGGGGTTTTGCTGGAGCTGCCTCTGGAGTACAACCCTGACAGCTTTAAACCTTTTTTTGTGCTTCTGCAAGAAAACAGCAAAGTTAATTGAGAAAGTAGGGCAAATTGGCAAATACAGAGCTGATGATATTCCATTTGGCTTCAGTGTTCTTCTTTTTGCCTGGATTACACCAGAACACGCTTCACATATGACCTGCCATGAAATCACATTCAAACACAAAGCTCAATAGTCAAACCCCACCCAACGGGGGGAAGGTTCCTTTCTCTCTCTCTTTTCCACACCCATCCACCTACTGCTGTGCTGAGAGGTGCTAACCAAAGAAAGGGTGGTTTGAGCCATTCGGAGAACTTGTTCTCTCATAATCTTAGTTGTAAATCAAATTTCAAAAACCCAGGATGCAATGAAGTAAATACATGAACAAGGGTTGTGTTCAGGTGTTGGCAGTGGTGTTTAACTCAGTTTGAATGTTTCCTCTCTTGCTGCCTGGGGAAAAGCAGACTATCTGTACCTTCTACTGGGAAATAGTTGCTTGTTTACTCAGATGCAGCAGTGTTGGATATCTTGATTTGAGAACTAAAAAAAAAAAAAAAAGGTTAAAATAAGAATTAATGTCAACCAGTGAGATCAGAGTAAGATGCCACAGATTTAAAACCTTAATGAGAAAAACAGGTTCTGAAACAATCTCTGAAGAAAACCTTCCTTGTGTTGGGGGAAGCATCAAAAAATAGATTGCTGGGATTGTCTCCGGGATGTATTTTATGGACATTTAGTATCTGCATGGTACTGTAAACCTCGAATCCCAGAATGACCCTCCATTTCCTTCTTCTTTTCCTCAGTAAGAGTGTCATGTGTGATGGATATTCCCCAGCTCTGGGATGTTATGATCTAATGTGGTTGTCAGCAACACCAGTTCTGGGCAAAGCCTTCCCCCTTTCACATCTGGGACATATTAGGTTTTTGAAAATCTAAATCCCACTGGAGTCAGTGAACATGCGGTCTTCCCCTTCCAGCTTCACAGATTCAAATTGTTACAGAAGATAGCTTATATGTAATCAGAGGGAGATCTAATATTATGTGTTTAAAATCTTATAATTATGAACTGATTCCAGTATGTTCTTCAGAATCTGCATAAGGCATTTCTTGCAATACATCAGTGGCTGCACTGCAGTACCCTGAGAGATTTAAGGCACATAATATAACAAGAAGTGAGCAGGGGAGTAAGTGAATCTGCAAATAAATAAGGAACATAGTGCATACAGAGTTATAGATATTGAAACAATATGAATTCCGCGCAACATAAACCAAATTTTAGTAAATTTTAATCTTGCTTTTCTCTGTTACTACCCCTATTTGTATTATAACCCAAAATGCTCAGGAATTTATTGTAAGAAAAATGTAAGAACCTGAAGGGAGCAGCACAGAAAAATAGACCTGATACCACAGGGATGCACAAAACCTGCAAATTCACATTAGGCATTTGCAACCATAATTTAGCTTGAGCCAAATCATGAATTAATCTCCAGTCAGAATATGGTACAAAAATTTTTTCACCAAAAATTTATTTTGCAGACACATTTCCCTAGTATAAAATTGTTTTAAAATCACTGTAAATATATGTGTCAGTAAGAATAATTTTGGAAGGCTAGTATAACTGGTAAGAAATATTAATAGCATATATTTTTCCAGTAGAATAAGGGGATCTTACAAGTAGAATTCACATTTAAAAAAAAAAAAAAATAGAATGTCATGAAAAATACTGAGTAGTGGTATGTATTATATTTTTCAATGCTCTCTGAAGGGATATATAGGAAGCCTCATCACTTCAGTTTCTTAAGAATGGATTAAGAGAAACACTTAGGGAGGAGAAAATTGCAGCCGGTATATGTGGAAAACTAAACATTTCTAGCAACTGATTTTCTTTGCCTACAGTTCTTTTTTGTTGTCGTTGCTGTTTTATTAATATGAGAAACACAAAGAAGCAGAATTATATATCACAGGACAGTATTCCTATGCTGTGCAAAAGAAAACTGAACCACTCAGAAACTAAGCTAAAAACCTGAACAGTAGGTACCCAGTTTTCAGTCTGATTCTGTACAATTATGAGAAACTGAATAAGGACTTATCTATTGAAAGTCCTAGATTACTGCAAACAACGGCAGTGTCACAGCTCCATTTAATTGTTTCTCTTAAAAAAAAAAAAAAAAAAAGTTGTGTTTTTGAACTGCTAATATTAACCTGTACTTTCCTGCCTTCTGCAACAATTACTTAATCAGTATTCTTATTGGGGAGAATGTATAATAAACACCTCAATAACCTGAAAAACTATAAAAACTATAATTTTCAGATGGTATAGCTCAATCATAGCCCTTTTACTGTAAGTAAAATTGTACTCTTGTCCGATACAGGTATCTTTCAACAACTCAAGCTACTGATAAAATATATATATAATAAGACACTTCATTGCATAATATTTTTTTCTTTATTGTCATTGCTGTTGTTATGTGGTTAAAAAAATCAATTCTTCTTGTTAAACTGTAACTGGAATATATATCTTTATTCACAAATCCAATATTTAATAATCTTTTGTACCAAGCATATCACATAATCACGTCTCACTTCATTCCCTTAAAAAAATGGGTGATGTCCCCTGCCCTGCCTCATATAGCTCACCATCAAGCTTTAAGACTTAATTAGATAGAGTCAGATGAGTGTTTTAAAATTCTCAGACAAAATATGTACAGTCAAGCTGAAGTCGTCCTTGGTTTTACAGGCCTCTTCAATTTTCCTAAATGTACAGAGAACATTTATTTGGTTTATATCCTTATTATTTTCAGATTCTGGCAAGTTTTTTCCTTCTGTTATTACAATATCTCAGGTTTAGGACTGGGAGAATAAAAAACCCCTGTGCAGATATTTGATGTAACTGTGGATGTACACATCCTGCAACAGCAGCTGAGATACCATGAAACAAAGGTAGAGTCAAAGAAACACTTACCTAAATAAAGAGGTTCTGTCAGGGAAAGTCAGTGAAAACCTTTACCCATCTTTCCTGGAAATAATAAGAAATGTATCAAAAGATTTCAACATTTTCAGGATTTCAAAATAACTGGAATTCATAAGTCTTAAGAAAAAAGTCTTTGCTAAAGTGAGGTAAGTTCAGTCTTTGCAATGTAATTCAAATTGCACTTGTAATTCAGGTTCTGGAATTAACCCACTGAAGCAAAGCTTGAAAAGATTTAGATTTACTCAGGCTACCAACAATACAATAATGTCTTACAATTTCAGAACTCCCTGTCTATTGGTGATAATGCCAAAATGCAGTAATCTGTCATTCTGAAGCTCAGAGTTGCTAATTGTTAAAGAATGAATCTGGACATCATTTCTGAGTTTCTCTGGCTGAAAACTTATACAGATCCAAGCACTTTTTAATCAGGATAAGATAACAACTGAGCTCTTCATTGAGACACCTCTGGAATGATTTTTATTATGCTGTGTAAGCCCCATTTTTTTAGCTGTGAGAAAGCGTGTTCAGAACAGAATTCCTGCACTTTCCGGCCATTGACTGGGGTGAAAAGAGAGTCTCTCACAACGTTGTCATGTCTAAGGTCCAATTCAGGTCACTGGAGCTACAGCTTTATTTCTCAGGGATGAGAGGGATGAGTCCTTTGGGTGAGGAGCACAGACAGCTGGGGGGGCAAAGGAGGGAGGGAGGGAGACAGAGAGGAAGGCAGAGA